ACGGTACGGTACGTACTCCTCCCCCCCCCCTTTTCTTATACGCGCGGGGGACGACGAACGAATGCCACCCTCGAGTGTCATTCAGAGCGGATTAATAGATACGTCGGTTAGGCGAAGCGAGGGCTGGAACAACCACCCCCGTCATCATCGTTCCGCGATGTTTGGGGTGCTCTTCGAGAACACTCCCTCTTTACTCGCGCTCCGTCTCTTTCTTCCCAAGGGGAGAGGGGGAGTTTACTCGCATCGAGACAGAGAAGATGCTGGAAGTAATGGCTGTTGACAACGAGCGACGGGGGATTAGGAAGTGCTAATTGAATGTTTAGGCACGGGTCACCGAGAGAGGCCGGGAACGCGCAGCAAGCCGCAATTTATTGCTTATTTCGTGTCCGAGGAAGGAGGAGAAGGACGGAGAGTATTCACGTCTGTACGAACTTGCATGTAATTTATAAACGACTGCAAGTTTGTTGCTGCTTTGCCGCTGCTTTGTCACCCGCGAATTTAACGTCGCGATTAATGCCGCAATTAAATCCAACGCGATTGCAAAAGCTTGAGAGCCGCGTGATGTTGAAAAACACCCGAAAAATCAGCGTGAATGACAGGTTCGGATTGCATGTGCAAGTTTTCTTTTTATTGCAAGTTTGAATTATGGGATTAAAATTATTGAATATGTGTCATTTTGCCAAAATCTTTGGCCTGCAAATTGTGTACGTCATTATGCGTATAATTTTATTAGAATTTTTGTATAATATTTAATGGGTTTTAAAGTTAATAACTAAGCTGTAGGTAATAATTACAAAGTTAAGTCACTGTTTCATTATTTTGAGGAAGCTATCTATCTTATCATTTAGCCATTATCAAAACGTGTTGTCACAAGAGAGAGATAATTAAATATTTAATCAAGACAGCAGTTTTTTAAACGATGAATTTAATTATTTAAGAATTAGGTAAAGTATTTAATTTATGCAAATGGCATTTCTTATTATCAGTTGTTGTTATTGTCATATTGTCAAGTTTCTTACATGTTTTATGGGGGTATAATTTATTATTTTATACAAATAGATGCTTTGATGAAGTGTAAATTAAAGATAATTGACTAGTAAGGATTGATGTGAGAGGAAGATCTTTGTCTCATTATAAATAAACAATATATCTTCTTTTCAATTCTAAGAAATATTTTCTTAACACTTGGACTCTGATCACTTATGTAACTCTTTCGTGTCATTAGTGTCTACATTAAATGGTATTGCATTTCTGCATAAAGTTTTCAGTATTTTATTAAAATTTACAACATTATATTAAAATTTTTGATATTAGAATATTTTTGAAAATACTAATAATAAATGAATTGTAATGGGGATTAATTTCTTCTTTTATTGAAAAAGTTAAATGTATTTATCTCCGAGTTTACATAAAAATTCGAAACAGCATGTAATAAACATAATTTTATGGCCGTTTTAATAATACTAATTAGCAATAAAAATTTAAAGTAAGTCAGTTAAAGTTAGTTTTAGTAGATTTATTTTATCACGACTTGGAATCACTTTCTATTTTCCCTAATATAAGCGAATGCTACTTCAAATATTATAATATAATTATGCACATTATTAAAATTTTTATTAGAATACATTTCAATGATTAATGGTTTTAATATAATACGTTCTTTAAGTATTGAGATTAGAAGGTTTCGTTTCGCCAAATAAAAAGTCTTTAAAGAGTGAAAAATTCTGGAATAATCTGGTTGAATTTTTCTGTAAACGTGTTCAGGTACTAAGATTTTGGCTACAGTCAATTTGACGCTATAAATACTTCAAAACGTTCTTTTTCTCCTTCCTTTCAATGAAGAGAAAAGGACAGAATTTGTAGTATCAAGTAGACCACAGTTTTTAAGTACATAATAAGCGAAAATATATATAATCTTGACTGCAGTAGTACAAATAAATAACGCACCTATATCTTTTTTTATTTTTAGTAAATTTATTTGCAATAGAATTCTTACTTAAGATTTTTATATAAAGATATATAATGTTAAAGATTAAAAAATTACAAGAAATAAATTTTTGTAGAACAAAAACATCGAAATTATTTTTAAAATCTGTCTTTAAGAGATTTTTAGTTAATGGCAGAACATTCAGTATGTCAAAAATGATTAATTTTTATTGTTAAAGCTACTTAGTATAAAACAAATAAATATATAATAAATTTATCTTATTAATTAATTAAATAAAATTAAATGATTAAAAGATGAAACTTTCGAAGCATTAAGAATGATTAATATTTTGTAATGTGCGAAGTCTTTCACTATTTAATTACTCAGATTGCACTTTTATCTCATGTGTTATAATTACACAAATCTATATTATTTCGTTTAGTTAAATAAGATATTTAGCTACGTTCCCTGCGTCTTTGCTAGATTTGTAACCGGCAAGTAATTCTTGTCCTAGGAGAATTCAACAATTTTTGGAGTCGGGATTAAAATTAGCCGGCATTAAAATTAGTAGATCCGAGATATAATATTTTGTGGGCAGACGGCGGCAAGCTGTATGATATTTACATATAAAAAAATAAGAAATTTTCAAGAAGTAACTTAAATTTTGTGATAAATTTACTCTCTAAGTTTAGAAGGATATTTTTTTAATTAAATTATAACATTATTATTAACAAGTTTAAACATATAAACTTTTAAGAAAAGTATTTTAATAAATTAACACATATTACTTATTGTTAGACTCTTTTTGATGAAAACAGTTCCGAAACTTAACTTGGAGTTACTTTTTATTTTTTTCTAATGTTAGTATTCTTCGTTTAAAATCTTATAATATTATTATGCACATTATTAAATTAGAATACACGTTTTAATGGATAAAATTTTTAATATGATACGATCTTTAAGTGTTGAGATTACAAGATGTTTTATTAAATGGATAGTTTTGAAAAATATGTGTGCATTCTGATGTTTATCAAGATGTAGTTTGAAGTAGGTGTAGTTTTCGATTTGTTAAAGAAGGAGGAAAGAATTTCAACGTCGAAGTTAAAACTTTTCCATTAACTTATAAAAGATACATTTAGATTTTATTTTCGAAACTTTTTTATAATGCAATTTTCACCACTTTCTCGTCTCTGTTTACGGAAACTGACCTTAAATAGTGGCCGGCGGCGGCACGTTGATGCAAATCCAGATCAATTTTGCTGCCGTGGTTGAGACTTTCGTCTCGCAAAAGTGTCGTTTAACAATTAATCACAAGAACGTGACGATATTATCGAAAATGATCACTGCACTGCGCGATTCGCTATGCACATAATGCAATAAAATCGGAGTTCTCAATTCACTGTCACGTCACTCCGAGTCCTTCTGCCAGTCCTCTCATGCATCGTGATCGCAGACCGACGACACGATACTCGTACCTAAGTTTATTTTACCGTCAGCGACAGGAATTGCAAGCCGAGTTTACGACCGAGTAAAATCTATGCTAAAAAGCGCGTGAACTTGGCGTGAGACACGATTGTATTCTCTTGATCGCGAGTGCGGACGCGTGGCGAAAAGACTGTGGAATACGAAATCCCTGCTCGACGCAGAATATGAGATCCCTGTTCGACTGAACGTGGAGTTACGGAATGGCATCAGGAGTCCGGACTACCAAAGTTTCCAACTCCGCCAGCGGATCTCCCACCCTAACGCGCGGTTGGTGGTTGAAGCAAACACCATTGCTCGTCCAATCGTCCGTCGTTGGGGGCGGTCCCGATGTTCTGATTGGCTTCACGGCAAAATCGTTTATACCTAAAGAAGGTTCAGTTACCGCGCCTCTGATAGCTGTTACTGTTAGTTTCTCTAACTCTGAATTTGTCTCGGCTACCTATAAGTACTACGATGGGAGTAGCACATCTTTTTTAACTATCAAAGCGGCTATGATAATTTTGAAATTCTTTTTTTTTTTGTTACGCGTAGTTAATGTCTTCAGGTTTTATCTAACTAGGTGAGATCAAGGAATCAAAGTTAATTACATATACGTATATATGGATTACAAGTCAGATATCTCTCATTAGTATTATTCAAAATATATAATTGCATTGAACATAAAAATATGAGATTTAAAATCTCTTTATATATAAGTCCTTAATTATATATTCTATTATATACTATATTCAAAACACAGAAATCACTTTGAGATGTAAAGACATGAAGATATTTAATATGTTTTCCTAGCAGGTCCTAGTAAACTTTATGTAAGCAGTTTCGTAGACGAGTTCTTTCTGTAGGTTTAGCCTTTTCATCTCCTGTTACACTAAAATTGGATTTTCTATAATATATTTATTTGTGATAGTAAATAATTATAATATTTAAATGTATTTTAAATGCAATTTAATGATTTTATTTTTTTTTAATGATATGTTCAGCCCAATATTTATATGTTTTTAAGCCTTTTGCATTTTTTAAATATAATTTATTATATTGGATTTTTGGCCAAACTTGATTATAACTTTGATAAACAAATATTTAATTTGCGTGTTAATCAAACTGCGTTTCGCTCGAAAAAAGAGTAGATAAATTTATTTTTAAAATCCAAAATTATTCATTGCACAATCTAATATTTATTAGTTACTATTAAGTAGGTATTATACTAAAGTATACTAAGGTATATTATATTAAAGCCACTTTCCAGCAAGAGATACAAGTCGACACAGTATTTTATCGTTGTTCGATATCCAATGAACAACAGAAAGAATAATACTTTTGTGCCAACTGTATCTCTTGCTGAAAAGCACGTTAAGGCACGTTATGGCAGTTAAGCGATTTTCGTATGTCAATGTACTTTTTCACACGAAACTCGCTTTACATGCGCAACTAATTCCGAGCATTGTATTAAGGTATACTATCTATTATGTGTGATTAATGTAAATTAGTTTCAACAAAGAAATAGAAGTTAAAAGAATGTGAACATTAACATACAAAAGCATCTTAAAAGGTTTTGAACGTAGATAAATCTCGTCTTTCAGAAATGAAAGGCAAAATTGGTTAGAAAAAATTGGCGGAACAAATAGAAATGACAAGCATCATTTTAAAAATTTTAGAGAAAAATGGGAATCGGTAAGTTTGAAAGTAAGAAAGCGACTTTCCTTCAATACTAACCACTCTATCTCTCTTTCCTTCCCCGTGTATTTTTATTTTACTTTTTTCTTTTTTTGTCTCTTCTTTTTTTCTGTCTCTCTCTTCCTTCTTCAGTCGGTTCTGAATTCGCATTTATTCGGTACGATATTGTGTTCGTTTCAGAACGCAACAAAATGGTAGCTCGCTTGACGTTTTGCTCTTTTTTGCGGGGACTCCCGGGAGAAAATTTTCACGAGGAGGGTACTAAAGCAGGGGTTTCTTCATAGCCGAGTTAACCCTTTGCGTTACACACCACCCGACAACGGTGTCTTTCGTACGGCTTCAGTAATAATTGGAGTGGAAAGCTAAACCGAAACTGGTCACAGAATACATTTCTCGTGATTTAACTATTATAAATTTGATAGGAGCGTAAAGAGCCAACAGCCAGATATTCGTGCGAAGGTTATCGTGTATTAATTTATAACCATTGAACAATACATTAAAGAACAAACGTTTCAGCCTGTCATCAGGCTTTTATCAATGTTATTAAAAAACCAATCAATACGCAACGCAAAAATTAAATACAAAAACGAAGTAAATTGACATAATTAACTGAAGAGTAGTTAAAACCACGTTAAACTACTCTTCAGTTAATTATGTCAATTTACTTCGTTTTTTGTATTTAATTTTTGCGTTGCGTATTGATTGGTTTTTTTAATAACATTGATAAAGGCCTGATGACAGGCTGAAACGTTTGTTCTTTAATGTATTGTTCAATGGTTATAAATTAATACACGATAACCTTCGCACGAATATCTGGCTGTTGGCTCTTTACGCTCCTATCAAATTTATTGATTTTAACAATCATCAGAGCCTGATACATCTATAATTTTTAACTATTATAGTTAACGCAATGCGACGATACACGTGGTTCAAAAATGTCGTGCAATTGTTGAACAAGCAATTCTTTTGTTTTCAATTTAGTGAACTTAATTATTGTTGTGATATTGATAGTGTACATATTGATATATCACTGTTGATACATCATTTAACAACTGAAAAATATTTCTAAAGGTTTACGCTATCCGAAAATGTAAAAATTGATATTTTCAAAATTTCAAACCGTTATTCTTTAAAAATATTTTGCTTTATTTTTATAAAGTTTTATTTAAAATTTATGAAACTTTATAATTTAAAACATTTTAAATTTATGCTTCTAAACTTCTAGAAAAATTAGGATTGTAGAAAGTTTGCAAAATTTAGAACTTAAATTTTCACAGAAAAATTGCACATAATACAGAAAAGCAAATTTTTTTAACTTTTAATAAGATGATCGAAGAACTTAATAAGATGATCGAAATTAATTAATATGCAATCAATTAATATACAATTTATATAACATTAGTAGTAATTGATAGCAACTAGGATTTACATTGTAACTGTGTCAACACATAAATTTGTTATTTTTTAAGGATATAAAAAAAGCACAATTCTAAATTGATCGTGCGAAATGGCAAAGGGGGTATTAACGGCGTTGCCAAGTGGCGTCGATTGCGAGCATATTTATGGAGCTATATTTTCCATGCGAACACTCGATGCCATCCTTTATGGCCCATTGATCGTCTCTTGTTTATTCCCAAGTGCCAATAAGGGTACTTCGTCGAAAGGAATGATCGAGTTTCGATATCGCTTCATCACTAATGTCGGCGATTTGCTAACCCCACGTTTTTTCTTTCCGTTTCCTTCGTCCGATAGAACAACTACACGAATCTGTGATTGATAACGCTAATAACTTACTCAACACGTTCAGATAATATCATCGCGTTTCAGAACAACATAATAGTAAATAGCAGGTACATTTATTACAATTATTGGAACAGTTTTAAGTCTAGAATTTACGCGAGATTATTTTATTGTTTTATTTTTGAGATCATTAACTTAATTGGCTAATCATCTGGCCGAAACATCTTTGCGCATGCAAACGCAAAGTATCTTTGTCATATTGTTCTTTATCGCCGTATCGGTTCCCTTCGAGCGCTGCTTGCACTTACTTCCGGACTAATTAACCGGAAGCGTCGGCCGCGGTCCAGAAGGACAAGGGCGCGAGGTGTTTATCCCGATGGAGATTTATTCCCTTGGCGCGACCAGGACGCTCGCACGTGCTAGCATCCCGGCGTATTGTCGCACGCGTCGTCGGGCGCGCAGCGTATGAATATCTAATGCACCCCCCGTCCCACAATTAAATTCGGACAATATGTTTTGTTTCGGGAGGGGCCGCAACTGCGCCACCCTCTCGAGGCCGCTTGAAGGGTCTCCCGGCGCTCACCCGGAAGGGGGCTTCATCACCCCTTGCGGGGTGAATCCTTCGCTGAATAAACGCCCCGAGTGTAAATCTCGGCCGCGGCCGAGAAGGATACGCGCCGCGACAGGCGATAATTTCTCCCGATTAGAGTTGACGCTTGCGGTTTGCCGTTCGGCAAATCCTCGTCGGTGTCTTGCACAGACTAAAGGCGATAACGCGTAATGAAATATTTGCTGAGGAGCTACGATGGGACTGTAGGGTGATGGAAGTGCATAATAATTTGTTACACTACGTTCTACGAAAGTAACTCGTATATCTTTCAAGTTTGCTTCTCTCTCTCTCTTTCTCTTATCTCAATTTTTTATTTTATCTTAAATTTTTAGACAATTACAAATTGAAAGACGGTTAATTTTTTTTAATTGTTGATGCTTTTTTCTAAAATGAACTTAATTCTCTAATCTGTTTTTGCTGGTGAAGATTAAAATATGCATAATTTGTATTACAAAACGTACCGAATTTTTTTACATTCTAAGAACATGTATTGTAGAAATCTTTTTTCATTTCAGAAATTTTCGTATCCGTTAAAAATAAAATTAGGGTTATTATGATAGATTGTTTTATAACAGTTAAGAGTACAGACAATAGTGAAGAATAAGAAAACTCCTTTGTAAAAAATTGTTTATGACTCAGTTTCACTTCTATTCTCACACAACAGGAGTCAAACTGAGTAAAACAATTTACAAAAGAGTCGCTTTATATTGAATGAATTTCGAGAATTTTACTTTCTCTTCCTTAAAATGCTTTTATTTTTGTTAAATTTGTTAAAATTTGAAATTTTTTTTATTCGCATGTAGGCAGATATTTTGGAAATCAATAAACGATGAGTAAATATATGTCTGAAGTAAATAATACACGAATACTAATAACTCTTGTCATTTCTTTTGCAATTCGTGAAAATTTGCAACGACTTGCTCAAGATTCGTTTTTTACACCTTTTTTACTTGACAAAACACATGTTCGACATACGCATATAAGCACAAGCTTCAGCACTACATTATAATTAAATATGATAGAATTATTAATAATCTAACATTTTTTCGTATTATAGTACTATGGACATGCCTATTATTTACAATAACGACTGGACGATTTACAAATGTGGTTGTATATTTTTACCTACAGTAAAATTTTTTAAAATTTTATTAAAACAAA